TGTGTATGTGTATGTATGTGTATGCATGTAGGTATGTATGTATGTCACTTGTAACCACATACACACAGTATATGCAAACATAACTTATGCACACATGGTTGCGTCCCTCCATGCCTATGCTTTGGCCTTACCGTGTCTGCAGCAATGGCTTTCTGTTATTGGTGCCAGGGTGCTTCTCTGCCACCCTCGATGAGCTTGTTCTGCACCTTCACTGCCTGGATCGGGATTCGGCGGCGCTGGACAACGGAAAATCCGAGAAGTTGATGATCCGTACTGTCGAAGGCAAGCAGCCTGCATGGACTCAGCCATGTCTCTGTTGTTTCTATAGCAAGCTGGCAGGCAAACCTCTAACACATCTCCTTGCGAGGAAGTTCTTCTCGCGACTGTATATATAGATGATGGCACAGCGGAATCATGTTGGTGCGGCTGTGCAAACAGCTCAGGGATTCTGTGTGTGTGCATATATATATATATATATGTATACTAATATATGCCCCTGCAAGTTGTACATATACGATGTGTCTAATTCCCATCATGAACCCTATCCCATCGTCAAGCACGAGTGAGGCCGATCATGATCAGAATCATTACATTCCCCGCAGGCTGTGTGTAGCTGAAGACTACTCCATGGCACCCCCCGTTGGTGCAAGGCATAAAGATTTGCCCGAGGCGGGGAAAGCGCCTGCGGCGCCCCTCACACAACACAATGTACGCAAAGGATCCTACAGCCACCAAACTACATGGTTTTACATGTATAAGAGTGCACTGAACTGGCTTTGCTGACACTGACTTAGCTTTGCCCGATAATCATAATTCTGAGCACCTTGATCAGATAATTGGCAACTTTTTCTCGAGTTACCTCACTTGCAATCCTCAAAACCCGAAACCCCCTCGACCTCCCCAAGCTCTAAACGAGACCCTACCTTAACCCTTTAACCCAAACATTCAACCAAACATCAACACCCAAAAACCTCCCTACACCCTAGGCCCTAAACCCCTAAACCCTAAACCTTAACCCTTGAACCCCTAAACCCTAAACCCCTACTAAACCACTAAACCTCTAAACCTTCAACCTCAAGCCCAAAAGGCCCAAAGCCCTCCACGCCTGCACGTGGCTGCCAAGGCTGGCAAGGCCAGCACTGGGCGGCTCGCAGCCTGGATATGACGATCCATCTGAAAGTTGTACTAGAGTCTTAAAGGCAAGCTTATGGTACATCTGGATTTTATGTTAAAGTTCGTGAGTTTTTATTCTGTGGTCTTAATACTACTTGTTGATATCTGATTGATTAAAAGTCTTTTGTAGGATCCCGTACGTTCTAGAGCTTCCGTATTCACTACTGCTTCATTGACGAGGCGTCAAAAACGTATATGCACATATCTCCCACAGCGTTGTTGTTTTTGGGAATGTGATCGGCTTCACGTGTGACACGGTGTCGCTACAGCAAGTTTCAGGTTGAATGGTTACGGGAGCGCGGCAGGCTCTAAGTTGTTTCTCAAAGGCTGGCTGCCACAGTTTGCCAAAATGCCGCCAAGGAACTGTTCAAGAAGCAGTTGCTCAAGTCCAGGCCATAGACCTGCGGACTGCCCACCGTGCTTCGTTGCTCTGACAAAAAGGACTTCTGAACCAAGCTGACATGAGCCAACATGGCGCAAATGCGTCCTAGTTGTCTTATTTCGACTTGGTTGGCGAGGAGATTACGGCCCATCCAGTTGCACAGCAGTTGTGGCTAGGATCCTGGCAGCAGCTGCGCAAGTCACGCTGTACCTGCCCCAACGGTCATGATCGCACGACTGCCCTGCTGCCTTTTCTGCTTTGCATTCCATTGAATGTGGCTGTAGCGACAGCTGGGGCAGAACGAAACTTCGTGAAAGCTCGAGCAATACCAATATGAAGACCAGAAGCCGCTTGGGAAGCGCACGTGCCGACCAACATCTCGTCCAACGTACTGCACTGTCCGATGCCCTGGGGAGCCCATCATGTGAAAACTCGGTAGGTTTGTCCACGCCCGACATGCTTCATGCACTGGCGGCTGACAACACAAGCAAACTGGTGAAGCTGCAGAGCCTGGTATCCACTGGGCGTTGGAGAGTCCGTACCTGCACAAAACTCCCCCATTGCTGCGATTGCTATGACGCGTTTGGACGATAACGACGTCGACAACTAATGCTGCTACTCCTGGTGCTACGACGCCTGGTGGTGGTGCTGCTACTACTACTACCACTACCACTGCGACGACGACGACTATCACCACCACTACTAAGATTACAGCTGCTACCCCTGCTGCTACTGCTACTGCTCCTACTGCTACTTCCACTCAGGATGTGCAGAGCCATCCAGTCCGTTTGCTTGTTTGGCTCAGCACCCGACCAAGGTTGCTGCCGGCCAGGCGAACGGTGAGATCCAGACCTAATACGAGCAGCATTGAACTGAATGGAGTCTCATGCTGCGGGGGTCGTTTTGGGAGGAGGTGATGGGGAGGGAGGAGCGGCGGTGCCGTTGCTGCTGTTGCTGGAGTCAACGACAATCTCTGACAACATGAATAGCAAGAGGAACAACGACAACAGCAACAACAACAACAACAACAACAACAACAAAAACACCAACACCAACACCACCACCACCACCACCACCACCACCGCCACCGCCACCGCCACCGCCACCGCCACCAACAACAGCAACAGCAACAACAACAGCAACGGCAACAGCAACAGCAACAGCAGC